GTAGAAGGTCTTTTAGTTAGTTTAAAAGTTCACGGTCAAGTAAATAATGACATGTATCTAAACACCAGTACGAATACATACGAACATTCCTTTTATATCTCGTGCCAAAAAAAACTAACATCGAGAGGAGATAAGGCGAATACTCGGGCCGAGTAGCGAGAACATCCGAAGAAGGCGTCTACATGCTCGTACCCGTGCCTGCCCACAAGGATCTCCTAGGCGTGCGTTATCTGTAGTTAGCAGTGGCTGCAAATAACCGCCGGTACGACAAACTCCGCCGATCGTTGAGTCCCGTGATTCCGTGAGGCGTCGAGGTCACTGGCCCCTAGGTGATTCTTGGCACTTTATGCGCTCCGTGCATCCTGTGCCCAGTCGCGTACTAAAGTGCCACCATCGCACTCCCCAAACCCTTTTACTAGTAAAAGGGGTAGGCAGTGCCCACAGTGAGGAAAGCCATTCACTATATTATTACCATCATATATAGAACTTTTGCCTTTAGAACACAACCGACTACATCATGTCAGGTAGGGACAAGGGGGAGCCACCCCCCAAGTCAAGAGTACCACCGGATAAGAAAGGAGTGTTGTAGAGACCTTTAGTCATCAGGGATCTAGCGAACCCAGAGCGCACCAGAACGGTGCCAGCTTTCTCCCAGATACCCATGAGGAAACCCGTCTCGCCGCGGAAGGAGCCCGCATCGGGCGTCGCGCTCACGCCAGCCGTGTCTGAGCACACGGTCAGGCGGCAACCGTCGCCCCAGCAGCAGCGGGCTAAGAAAACGGCCAGACGCCATACCCCACCGGAAACCGAAGCCTCCCTATATGAAAAGAGGCAACGGATAGGCTCCCAGCTGTCTTCCGATGAACCACCATCCACATCGGAAGACGAAGAATACCACCAGGTGACGACGAAGAAGGTGCTCAGATCACCACCGAAGTCCCCCTCCCCACCACAACCCCCCCGCTCCATATCACCGGATCGGTGAAGCCAAGATTCAGCCCAGTATGAGCAGGGGGGCGAGGAATCTTACAGCTGGGGGTCAACCACTTATGCAACCCTCGCAGCATCCGCCGGCCGATCATCGCCGGTGGCAACAACAAATCCGTCCGGGCTCCCGCAGCATGATGGCCAACGACCATCTACCAGCTATGCCCATATGGTAGCTGCACCAGCAGTACCACGACCACAACCGGCAGCAGTGCCAACTGATAAGCCTGCCGACCAGTAAAAAGTTAGATATCGACCTATAGTGGCCGAATGCCTACCGGATTGGACGAGGCATTTTAAGGAGCTCAACAGAATGTTGGGCCACCCTTTAAATGCCCGTCCGTTCGGGAAAGGCGTAAGGTTCACACCTCAGAGCGCCAACGAATTCAGAACAGTTCAGCGATACATGGTGGAACTATCAAAAGAAATACCAACACTGTCGTGGTATTGTATCCGGGGTCTACCAATGGGCACGGACACCAAGACAATAGAGGAGGCTATTAGGGCAAAAGGCTTCCACGTAAAGTACGTCAAAGCAATCCCACCTCGTAGGGGCAGACCTGGCTGCATCTACTTTGCCCAATTTGACCACCTGAGCCTGGAGCAGCTACTCCCGGAGGACCCAAAAAAGATCCCCCAGAGTCGCCCAAAAACCGTGACCATTCAAAAAGACGGGTGGGTTACTATCACAGGGAAGGGCAGGCAACCAGCCCCCCCACCCGTAACACCTAAGGAAACGGTGGAACCCACACTGACAAGGGCAACCACCGGGGGCGACTCTACAGCCCCCCGCCAACCCCGCCACAGAACGGCAACCCTCCAAGAAGAGGAGGCGGGAGAGGAGCAGGAAGAAGTCGCAGCCTCCTCAGGCTGTTACCTCTACCCCGACACCAACTGAACCAGTAGCCTCACAGGCGCAGATTACTCGGGAGACGACCAAAAGCGTGGGTAGAGTGCCAGAAAGGGATCTACCGGAACATAGAGCCCGCTCTACAGGTAGAGCGCGCTCTACCCATAAGCCAAGAGTGCAGAACCAGAACCACCAACACCCGAGACAATTGCCAACGCCTTCTTATAGGAGACCACCTACTGCCGGCCTCGAAACAGCAGATGCAATCCAACGTTTGGTTGGTATTGCCATCGAGGTCGGCACACAAGTCCTGGCCGACATCAGAGCCGGGACAGATCCAGTGACGGCGATAATGAAGGCGCTGGCAAACCTACTAGCCTGGCATTACGGAGGAGAGTAATCTGCGCCTCTTCTATTGGAACCCGGACGGTATACAGCAGAAGCTGCATGAACTCCGCACAGTCGCCCAGCAACAGGACTTACACATCATTTTGCTGGGAGAGACGAAGTTAAACCCAAAGACGCATATTAAGCTGCCGAATTACCATCTGTACAGAAGGGACGAAGTCACTTCTCAAGGGGCCGCCTACAGAGGGACGGCGGTTCTAGTGAGGAGGGACATCGTCCACCAAGAGCTGGAATTACCATCTTACCAGACTATGCGCTCTATCGGCATAAGACTGGAGGCCGCGGGCGAGGAACTAAGGATTTATGCAGCAGGTCCCGCCAGGGACTCCATTCTGCTCCTCAGACATCCGGACGGTGATGGAAGGTGAAACACCCACTATCATCGCCGGGGACCTAAACGCTAAACACCCGGCGTGGGGGTCCAGAGTGATCACTCCGCCGGGTCTTGAACTTTATGAAGACGCTGAAAACAACAACTATGACGTATTAGGTCCCGAAGAACCGACTCACGTTCCGTCTGACGCACGAAGACATCCGGATGTATTAGACATCGTGCTCACTAGGAACGTCAACTACCCGATAGTGGTAGAAGTGCTGTACGACCTCTCCTCACAGCACCTCCCGATTCTGATAACCCTTGGCTTAAAGGCGGTGACAACACCGCCCAGAGCTTTCAAGACACGTGTCAACTGGAGTCTCTATTGCCAACATTTGCAGGAGAGACCTCCAGTCCACCAGCCTATAAGCACAGCGAACGACGTAGAGGCCGCTGCTACTAGAATTACCAAGAACATCCAGGAGGCCCTCCACGCGGCCTCTATCGTCCCGATCACAGCAAGGCGAGACGATCTGCCGCGAGAGATATGCGTGCAGATCAGGCGCAAGAGAGCGTTGAGAAAGCTCTGGGCGCGTACTCGCTGCCCCAGGATAAAGAAGCAACTTAACACCGTATCGGAGGAACTGTCGGTTGCAGTCCAGGCCTTCAGAGGAGAGGCCTGGGACCGGCGCATCTGGAAGGCGGACGAGCAAGATACGTCGCTCTATAAACTGAACCAACAGTTTACCAACACCAGACCTCCCGTTTGCCCGCTTATCAACAGCGCGCGTGAACGTTGCTCTGATGCCAAGGGCAGAGCGGATATCCTAGTCGAGCACTTCGAGGAGCAATTTATGCCGAACCCAGCAAGTGCGGAGTTCATGGAGCTTCATGCCCGTAAGGAAAGTCGCGTACAGGAGGAGAGTGGTTCATCTCCCCCGCAGAACTGCGGAGGACAGTAACCCACCTGCAACCGAGGAAGGTGTCGGGGCGCGATGGGATTACCAACGCTGCACTCCGACAGCTGCCCAATAGAGTCCTAGTAGAGCTTGGTCGACTCTACAATGGGATATTGCGGACATCTCACTTCCCGGAGGACTGGAAGAAAGGCAAAGTCATCGTCTTGCCGAAACCCGGGAAAGACAGGCGTAGAGCTGCCAGCTACAGGCCGATCACGCTATTACCGCACATAGGTAAACTGCTAGAAAGATTGCTGCTAAGACGTCTCCGTCCATGCATCCAACTACGGGCGGAGCAGCACGGATTCAGGAGGGGTCACTCTACAGTCATACAGTTGACTAGAGTGCTGCACCTACTTGCGGCAGAGTATAATCGTGGCCGCATATTGTTGGGCGTCTTTCTCGACATCGAGAAGGCGTTCGACAGGGTGTGGCACTCAGGATTGCTTTACAAGCTGTACGAACAGACCAGTCCTCTTGCTATATTGCGGCTAATGGCGTCTTTCCTGGAAGACAGGAAGTTCTACGTCTGCGTAGAGGACGCCGAGTCCGCAACCAGAACCATCAAAGCTGGCGTTCCACAGGGCAGCTGTTTGTCTCCAGTCCCGTACGCGGCTTACACTACCGACATCCCAACACTGGCAGGCAGGCTGCAAGAGTGGGAGGACGACCTTGAGCTGGCGCTATATGCAGACGATAGCGCCTATTTCACCTCGTCGAGAAGAGCCCACATAGCCACTGCCAGGATGCAGCGTCTGCTGGACCTGTTGCCACCATGGCTGGATGAGTGGAGGATGGTCGTAAACGTTGGTAAGACGACCGCTCTGCTCACTCGCCGTCTCAGGAAATTTCCACCTCCGCTGAACCTCAACGGCTATAAGATCGCGTACCAGAAGGCCGTAACCTACCTTGGGTGCAGGATCGACAGGACGCTGCGCATGACCGCGCACGTCGACTTCGTCGTCCGCAGAGCCCGATGTGCGCGGGCGACGCTCTTGCCGGCCCTGGCATCCAAGCTGCCGATTAAGACCAAGCACCGGATATACAAGATGTATATCCGGACCATCATCACCTACGCTGCTCCGGCTTGGTACGCGCTTCTGATCAACCCTCTGAGGCGGCGACTGCAGGCCCAGCAGAATCTGACATTAATGTCAGATTCTGCTGGGCCTGCAGTCTGCTGGACGTGGCGACCTGCTCCGACGATCGTCCTTAAGGACGATCGTCGGAGCAGGTCGCTACGTCCGGAACGACGTTATAGCGGCCGATCTAAAGGTCGAGAACATCACCGACTTGTGGCCCGGCTGGCGCGCGGCATGTTCAACCTCGCCGACAACAGGCCACATGAACACCTCAACGGATTTGCGCCGTTGCATACCCGGCCGCCGGACGGGCGACCTTTTCCAGGAGAACTCCTCTCTATAGCGATTAGAGAGAGACAACCCTCAATCATCAAACAAATCAAAAGTCGAAAGAAGATATGAATATAACACTAGAAGAACTTATGAGAAGGCTAAATTCAAATCAAATGACTATTCAGGAGATCTGTGATGAAAATGACAATGATATTGATTCTGATGCAGAAGAAGATGGTGTTAATTTTATACAAGATATCCCTTTTCCTCCGGCTAAGAGTTCAGATACCACACTCTTATATCAAAAGTAAGAAATATAGCCGGAATTTTCCGCAAATATGCTACCAAAAACGATGCTGTCCTCCACAAACATGTAAAGGAAGAACATGAAAAAGAATATCCTTTAATTCTAGATGGCAAAACTAGATGGAGTAGTATGTCTGATATAGTAGCACGTTTTTTGAAACTTAAGTCATCAATTGTCAAAGCTTTTATTGATCTCAAATCTGAAATATTCTTCACAGATTTAGAAATACAACAATTGCAGGAACTGAGTCAAGTCCTAGATATCTTAAAAACTCTGATAGAGGCTTTATGCCGCCGCGACGCCACTGTTTTGATCATCCAAATCTCAATAAAATTTGCATTGAGGACAAATAATATAATATTACACTTTTGAGCATCGCGATAGCTCGAGCGTTATCACAAAGGTACAAAGAACGGCGCCTTATACTAACTTCAGTTTTACAATATTTGCATGATCCAGTTAAATATTTTTCAGATGTTGAAAATGAAGATACGTACAGTTTTTGTAGGCCAATTAGCAACGAAATGAAACAAATTATTGGAGATTTAGTGAGTAAAACAATTCTCTAATTTCTAACGGCAACCACAAACAAGTCCAGTTGAAACTTTGCTTGTTTCTTGCAGTACAAACAAGGAAGAACTCGATCAAGAAGTAGAGATCGGTCTGGAACAAAGTCGGGAACAGGACTCGGATGTGCTAACTAGTATCCAAATAGAAATGGCATTGTTCAAAAATGGAGGAATTCATGGCCTGTATCTATCGCAGGCCAACAATTTCCTTAAAACGATTCCACTAACTAGCGTGAAACCCACGCGAATATTTTCGTCAGCTGGAGTGATTTGTAATAAACTGAGAACGTCACTCAGTGACAATAGCGTAAATGCAATAAGTTCCTGAGAACTTATTATCAAGAGAAATAAGCTAGTATATGTTCTAAATGATAAATAAGGAGATTTAGATAATTGATAGAATCAGGCGTTACTTTGCGGAAATCCATTACAATAAAGATAGAATATAAAATAGAAGATATAATAGTTACTTTGCAACCATCCGCTCAATTAAATAAAATGATGAGTCTTACCTAGTTTGAAGAGCACCTCCCGCCCTGCCTCAATTGCGCACACTAATCCCGTCACCGTTAATCCCAGTACAACTACTCCCAACACCACTACTCCTAACACCACTATTCTAGGAAAGACACACCATCGACGATAATACGATACGTGTTTTGCCTCTACACGAGGCATCTTCAGGTGATATAGACTCTACGGCGGCTGACCGCTAAGGCGGTTCTTCCCATTTTTTCAGTTCAGGAGCTAAGGCTCAATCGGAACATGACAAATATTTGAAACTAATAAAGTATTTGAAATATTTATTTCTGTCAGGAATCCATAAATCATTGTCAAGAAATTAATCAGGGTGTTTATTATGAGCAATTTATGTATGTGAAGAAATTCACCATAGACAGGTATCCTTAAGAATTCCTAGTGTGAGGGGTAAATTTTAAAATGAAACCAAGAACTCTCCACATTTAACTTTATTTATAATTATAATTAAACAACCTATCTTCATAACCATTGAAATAGTTAGTTCTATTTGCCGCTAAACCCTCAGCGATTCGGTTACCTAAATCAGGGTGTATGATGGTAAATAATTTCACGGCTCTATCTTGTAAAAATTTGGCCACTCCTCCCAAGCTGTATAAAAGATTTTGAACAAGTCGGCTGCGTTCGTCTTTCGTCATCTCGTTTACATACAATTCTGTAGCTTGCTGGAAATTGTTTAGTTCATCTTGGAATATTTCAATTAACTCAGTTCTTTTCTTATCATGGTAAGGTTCAGCTCCATTAAAAGAATTAGGATAATAATTCGGAGTATCTTTTCCATTATCTTCTACTGGAGGTTTGCCATCACGGTTGTAGGCCATCACTTTAACTTGAATAGGACAATTTACGGGTATTTTATTGAAATTTGCCCCTAAGCGGTAGTATTGAGCATCACGGTAAGCTAAGCGGCGAGCTTCGAAAACTTTGTCAGGTCCTCCCGAAATTCCGGGCACTAGATTTGCAGGGCTAAAAGCTAATTGCTCTATTTCTGCAAAATAGTTGATTGGGTTATTATTAAGCACGAAGACCCCTACGGGTATCAGAGGGTAGTCATCCAACGGTAAGACTTTAGTCACATCAAACACATCGAATCCCGCAATTTTAACATCATTTAATGATAATACTTGTATACTAACTTTCCAACTAGGAAAATTCCCGTTTCCAATGGCTCTGTATAAATCTCTAGTAGCATAATCAGGATCAACAGCTGCTATTTTTCGTGCTTCTTCCGATCTAAGATTTTTAATGCCAGCTGTCGGCGTAAAATGAAATCTGACGAAGCTTTTTTCTCCATGTTTGTTAACAACTTCAAAAGTATGTATACCAAAGCCTGGCATATGACGGTACCCATCAGGAATACCCCGATCCCCGAATATTAAAAGAAACATGTGTAAGCTCTCCGGTTGTAAAGTTAGGAAGTCCCAAAAAGTGTTACCATCGAACAAATTTGTAGCCGGATTTCGTTTTTGAGCTCTTACAAAGGTAGGGAAGAGTAGCGGATCCTTATACACGTACATAGGTGTATTAAAACCTACAATATCGAAATTACCTTCTTCTGTATAGAATTTAACAGCAAATCCTCTAGCATCCCTTGATGTATCTATTCCTCCTCTTTCTACCACAACAGGCGAAAAGCGTGCTGCAACAGGCGTTCTTTTTCCTACATTAGCAAATAATTTTGCTTTGCAAATGTGTGTTATGTCGTGTGTTACTTCAAAGTACCCAAATGCACCTCCCGCTTTCGCGTGAACTACACGCTCGGGTATTCTTTCCCGATTGAGATGAGTTAGAGAGTCCATGAAATATTCGTTAAGTATTAGTCTGGAATTGAGAGTAACTCTTGCGTCTTTGTATTCTATAGGCGCACCAGCACTGGTTGTCATGACGCCAATAGGTCCCTGAAATGAAATAAAGTTTTATATCAAGGATAATTTATGTTGAAATTCTGCCATATATACGGCAGATGTGTGTATAATGATTTCTTATATTTACGCGAACACTACACATTGAAATAATACTAGTTTTTACGGAATTTATCGCCTATATTTAACTTTTAAATACCCGACGTTTCGAACGCTTTACAGCACTCATGGTCACGGGCAGGACTGAGACGTTCAACGTCCATATGTCATAGTTAACCGCGGTTACCATAGATTAAAATTTAACTTTTGTTCCGATCTATGCAGTATGAACTTATGGTATCTTGAAGTCTTGCAGTTGTATGCTTGGGTTGGGATTTAATTTTATTTATTGTAGGATCCCAAGCAGATGGTAGCACCCAGCCATCTTCTCTATTGAAAAATTAGGATGTTTTTTGATTTCAATAGCCTCGCGAATCATCCTTGGAAGGAATCGGTGTTCTTTAGCGAGGATCTGCGGTCTATCAAATCTGATGTAGTGACGGGGGCGATCCTGTACGTGTTCACAGACTGCAGACTTCACGGAGCGTCGATTCTTCACATCAGCTATATGTTCTTTAACGCGGGTTTTTATTGATCTTTTAGTTTGTCCTATGTAGGAGAGACCACATTCACAATCAAGCTTGTACACTCCTGCATCTTGCAGAGGGACATTACACTTGACCGATGGTAAAAACTGACCATCTATACACAGTATGGCTCAAGGTGTTATCAGGAATCCGAATTACTAACACATCTAGAAAAGCTAAGACATTGTTTGCCTCTAACTCCATTGTGAACTGAATTTTAGAATTTATAGAGTTAAGATGGTCTAAAAAATGCAGTTACTTTATCTAAAAGTAGAATAGACGACACTTTCACAATGATAGAACAAAGTAATTCGGAATCCTGATAACACCTTGAGCCATACTGTGTATAGAAAAAAAGACCCATACAGATAGATATTTAAACGGTGATTCTCACCACCATCCTTCATAGTTAGCTACCGTGGGTAAATCTTTGTTTCAGAGAGCACGAGGGATCTGTGACAGTAAACACCTGGCTGCAGAGCTCCACCATGTCAAGCAAGTTTTGCATGACAACAAGCTGCGAGTCCCGCGCCTACGTCACAGTGAACGAGTGAAGCCGGCCACAGTCGAGCGTGTACCTGCTGTACTGCCATATGTTAGAGGAGTCACTGACAAGATTGGCTACATCTTGAAGCGCGCTTCCATCAAAACATACTTCAAGCCGCTGAAGAAGATTGGTCAGTTTTTACCATCGGTCAAGTGTAATGTCCCTCTGCAAGATGCAGGAGTGTGAGCTTGCTTGTGAATGTGGTCCCTACATAGGACAAACTAAAAGATCAATAAAAATCCGCGTTTATGAACATATAGCTGATGTGAAGAATCGACGCTCCGGGAAGTCTGCAGTCTGTGAACACGTACAGGATCGCCCCCGTCACTACATCAGATTTGATAGACCGCAGATCCTCGCTAAAGAACACCGATTCCTTCCAAGGATGATTCGCGAGGCTATTGAAATCAAAAAATATCCTAATTTCAATAGAGAAGATGGCTGGGTGCTACCATCTGCTTGGGATCCTATAATAAATAAAATTAAATTCCAACCCAAGCATACAACTGCAAGACTTCAAGGTACCATAAGTTCATACTGCATAGATCGGAACAAAAGTTAAATTTTAATCTATGGTAACCGCGGTTAACTATGACATATGGACGTTGAACATCTCAGTCCTGCCCGTGACCATGAGTGCTGTAAAGCGTTCGAAACGTCGGGTATTTAAAAGTTAAATATACGCGATAAATTCCGTAAAAACTAGTATTATTTCAAGATGTGTGTATATCTACATTCACCTAATTATCTATACATATTATGTTAAAATTAGAAATACAAATATATGTTTGTATTCCTATAGCAGCTTCCATTGAATTAAAAATCGATTAAAGGTAATAATAATATATATATAACAATACTATTACACAAATGCCCTTTCTTCTACATCATCAGCCGTTATTCATTCATTTTAGAAAAAACTTACCGCAATCACCACACTTGGCAGGATTGACAGTCACATCGCAGTACCAAACCCGGGTATCATAAATCCATCCTCTCCCCACCCGGTGATAAATATTTAAAAAAATAAACCACAAATATATATCGTACCGATGTTCTGTGTAGTGGCAATGAAAGTGAATCCACTGTCCCATATGCCGTAAGTGCTTTAAGAAGCGACAGAGGAAACCAAAACAGCACATAAGCTGCATCATCTTTTTTATAAAAATGTAAAATAATAAAAAAACCGCGGTTACCAAACCGCTTATGTGCAAACTACGAAACTAGGAGGCATACGTAAAACTGTGGACTTTATAGGCTGTATTGAATGAATGTATTGTAATAAATTTATTAATAGAAAAGACTATCAACAACACTCAGATTGACGCAAATACATTTAATTTCGTAAATCTTAGTAAAGCACAAAAGGTAAATAAATTTGTTAGATTTTTTATTACAAAATAAATTCATTAAAATAAAAATTACACCTTAACTTGCACTAATTTATAATAATAATATTTATTGATTAAACAAGATATAGTACATACTTATTATGAAGTCTTTACCTATGATATAGCCGTTTCTTGTGAAATAAGTTAACGTATTTTTTTTTCTATATTAAATATTTCTATTATTCAAAATATCACGCATGCAATCGATGCATCTTTGCGAACTAGTAACAGTATTGATGCCCTTGTTAATAAATCAGCTGGACGGGAGGCAATTATCCGAACTTTGCAAAAAGTATATGTCTGTATGCGCATGTTCTGTAGGGAGGAGGATAACGGAGTGCTTTGAACCCTAGCACTTGGAGACCGTCTGTTGTGCAGTTCGAGCTTCTCCATCATTGTGTTCATCTGCAGTAATACTTATCCCGCTTGGTGAGAATCTGTAATGAATCACGCCGGCGCTAGACCACCGAACACTGACCATCACTGCTGAACCAGGTTCCAACCAACTTGCTGAGCGCTTGCGAAAACTTGATCAAACAGAATCCATTTTTCGTCGTAGATAACAATGAGGTTCAAAGTTCCTTCGCTTGTTTGCCTGTTTAGCAGTGCAAGAAACGTCTCGACGCGTACTTCACGCCAGTGATCATTGAGTTCGTGAGGCATCCATTCATCAAGCTTTTATACTTTGCCAATTTGACGCAAATAGATGAATATTGTTTTGATGCTAAAGTCTAAACCTGCTGTTAATTCAGCCGTAGATTGAGTATTATCAGCGTTCACAATCGCCTTTAATTCGTCATTTTTGAGAAAATTTTTGGATGACCATGGGGTTCATTTTTCGGATCGAAATTTCCAGAACGGAAGCGAACAAATCAATATGGTGAGGTGTTCGTTAGTAGTATTCACGCCATAAACGTCGGCGCCATAAACACGGCTTGTGCGACGTTGCAGCCACGACGTTACTCATATTACATAATTACTCGAATTTTTAGTGTATAAACGATGACAGAAAAGATTCAAATGCGATGAAAACATAACACTCAATAAACAAATAACGAATTTTGAAAAGAGAACTCCATGTTTTTAAAATAAAAGTAATTTCAAATTAGAATTCTTAGCCAAACAAAAATTACTTTGAAGTGATCACCACTGCAGAACGGCAAATTTCATTGGTAAAGACTTATTATCTACCTTACAATTAAAGTTTCAGGTAGAATAATTTTTTTATTCTATTATCGGTGGTTATAGTTGTTTATGTATTGAGTAGTATACGAATTTGGGATTTTTAAAACACTTAAAATTCGTAACTCCGAAAATATTAATTTTGTCGTAAAAAGTCGTGAGATCATTTTTATATGTAGGTACTTCATGAAAGAATATAAAAAATTCTTCCGTTTGAAAGTAACAATTCCTTGTGATTTAAAAAAAATCAGTATTAACAATATGGCACCGAGTTACCCATGGCAACAAGCATTAGTATCATCAGTGTCTTACTGATATTTGTAGAGATCGCATAAAAAAATTGAGGTGGAATAGTTTTCGGTACGCATGCGTTGAATCCTACTGGACTATTTCGAGTCAATAGGTAGGTACTTAAATGCGTAACATGTAAGTCTGACCCCTAAAACTGTGGACATTTCTTAATAACAATTTTTTGTTGTATATTTAATTGTATAGTGAGCAAAATTGTAACGAAGAGAAAGTGCAAGATAAGAATTCCTAGCATTTAAATTAGACCATGCCTGTGGCTTAAATGCTAGTTTATGTTTATTTTATTATTATTGAGTCATATCGGTCAACGACCGACTCTTTCAATAGTGACCACGATCTATAATCCATTTCTTGATTAAAACGAATTATTGACACAATTCACAATTATAACATATTTTTCAAGGACTCACTTTCAATCGTAAAGAGTTAATAAGAAAACAACTAACCGGTACGATTTGATTACTTTCAGATAATTTGGTTTTATTTTAACCCATTAAGCGCCACGAAAATTCCATGCAATCGCATGCGCCCGGCAAATCCCGAGCGGTCGCATGCGACCGTACCCACCCACAGCTCCTTAACCTTAATACCTAAACTAACTAACTTAAACCTAACATAATCCTTAACATTAATCCTCAACTTTACCATATATTTATTTCAAAATTAATGCTGCAATACTTTCGGCATAACTGACGATCTTGCTAAGCCACTTGAGGTTATATTTCCCCCTTAAATATCTTGATTTCACTTGAATAAACACTAACTTTTACTTTATACTAGTACCTTCGTGTTTTCCTTAAAAATTAAAATCTGTTGTCCCGCAGGATCATTTTGAAGTTTGGCGGCTACCACCATGCACAGAACTAGAACAGAACAACGCAACATTTTCAACTTGCTATACTCCGTTATGCTTATTCGCGAACAACAGTATCAAACAGCTCTTTGGACACAGACTGCTAGCTTTATAATAGTGTTAACATTGCGACCTTGTTTTCGACTGGCCAAAACTCAAAGTCCGCGCAATAATTGCTTAACTAGAAAAAAAAAGTACTATTTAAACTTGTTCCGTGTCACAATTAGTAACATATAATGTCTGAAATAAACCTTAAAAACTTCTGCTACCCATAATATAGACAAGTTACTGATTTTGTGTTGAAATAACGTTTATAATTCGAATTTGACAACTGTACATGTCCTGGATTCGGATCTAAAACAAAGTTAGAGCTATTGTGCTGTACGCAAATCGTTCACTTTAGAGCAATTAGTTCGCGATGCCCAAGCGCGTGTGCGTGACTTCACCTTGAAATGTTTTTATTTCGCAGACACCCAGTATTACTCGATCTAAAAAAGGAAAAGGTAGAACTGTGCATATATAAATATTGTAAGATTATTAACTTAGCACTATTATATTTTATACTCATATAAAACAAGAGGCAAGCGCAAACCGAAGGCGAAAGACTATAGGATGAAAAGCTAACTAACATATTTTAAAACACTAACTTCTTGGTAACGACACCTCAGTGAATCAATAAAACTATCTCATAGCATTCAAAGATTTATAGCATCAATGTTATTCGACTGGGAGAAACGGAAAAGACAGATCTCATCATAACTTATGATTGATAAATGTAGATACGTGACGACGCATTATTATTATTATTAAGAAAAATAATTAAATTTTACACAGTCATTTTAAAATATCGTAGAAGTAATATTTGAAATAATTAAAAACAATATTAAGTGTAAAGTTAAAAACGCGAGGCAAGACGGGTTATGTCAGACTCAGTCAGACTCACACCGACTAAAACCTCATGATGTTCCGCCTTCGCCGCATATTGGCAGGGCCACGGGAATGCTTTCACACACGTCCGCGGCCAAACCAGCGCCGACCATCCCTCCTCGGAGGAAGTTTTCTCCTCCCCATTCTCCTTGTCAGGTAAGGGCGTTTCCATCATTCATGGTTTCCAACTCCAACGCCCCCCCCCTCCCCCCCCCCTCCTCCCCTCGAGTCCGTTATGCGGAGGCCATGGGCAGAATGAGCACTCGGAAGCACTTGCTTTCCGACCCCAACGGCGGATTTGGTCTCTGGCTCCACCACCAACTAAGTTTGGGCCGCGGAGGATAGGGAGAGGGGCACCTCGCAATGCCGTCACTCCTCTCCCCTCGTGGCCCCACCACCACCACATCAACGTTGCGGCCCCGTCAGTCGCAGAGGATAGTAAACTATAAAGTTATGACGTATTGCTAGATACGTATAAGTTGCAGAGAGCATTGATAAGAGTGTAATAATGTCTTGACTTTTTATTTACCTTAACATTTTTAACTTTCGCAGTGCGAGGCCTTTCGGACCGCGAGGCCTTTCGGCCGCGTGGCTTTATGCCATTGACCACGTCGCACACGCCTAGAGTCACCTGCTTCCTACCAAGATACCAAGCCCTCTTTTATCGTATTCAGTTATTTTGCTGTAGTATTTAATTTGCTACAGGTCTAGTCCCCAAATTCTTCTCCCACTTGGTAGAATTGAGGAAGGCCTTGTATCGGGAACATATTGTGTGACTTTTCCAAGCGGAAAGGAATACGTTAATAAGTAATTGACTGATGTCTACCTGTAATAAAAGTGGAAAAGGGACGAAATTATATTCATCTGTTTTAAGCGTTTTCCACTTAAAAGATGTTCTGTAGCTCAATAATTATTAGGCACTACTAGCGACTGCCGATTGCTTTAATAAATGTTGATTCTTGCAAGTGATACCCAAAAAAAACTAGGCAAAGACACCGTAAATAAATACTATCACACCGTAAAATAATATAAACCGGCTTATTTCAAACCATTAGGAAGATAGTTTGGATATATATATTTCTCAGCGCAGCTATAAAATACCGCAGCATTGGATCGAGAGTGAGCGAGAAGTTGCGTTACTCTAGCGGAGCGTCATGTCGATGGTGGCGAGGTGGAATTGAGGGTATATCGAGAAACCCCCCACTCGTTTGTGCAGTATAAAGTTTAGTGTAGGTGCCTTGGGAGAGATTCCGCTTGCGTCATTCTACGAGTGAAGTCATTCTACTAGTGCTGGAACTAGGTCATGGTTTTGTCTGTTCTGGTGATTTTTCTGGTGCATGCAAGGAAAATGGTGTTGCAGAGAAGCTGTTCTATGTTACACTAAAATATGTAGTATTGCTGTGCGTACTTTGATGTTATCATGTAATTATGTCCTTCACGTTACACTAGTATGTAATTTTGACAGGGACATGTAACGGTATGATCGACCTGTACTTGCTCTATAATAAATGTATAGTGCATTACGCTGTCTTATTACTGATAATTATGATTAATTACATAAGCAAGAGAGCAAGTTAAACATCCGCTCTCTTTATTTACTACTTTAGACAATTAACCTCATGATGTATTTCCAAGATATAGATTGTGGTGTAAGTGTGTCTTTATTTACAATAAATTGTTTCTTTTGCCGACATATTTATTAGCCTGGTCACGTTAATTCATATATTTAATATTTTATACTTCAGTAGGATGTACTGAGGGGAGGAGGATGTTATATTACCCAGGCCGGTAACTTGGAGCAGAGTCAAAGGTGCTAAGCTTTTAGGACTACGATTTCCAAATCCACCTACCATGAATCTGTTTACTAAGGGCGGTGTTTATGGCCAGCAATGGCTGCTTACTGATGGAATAAATAAGTAAAATGCAATAATAGGTGATAACCGTGTAGTGGTGGTATAAAAACTTATACTACCTGGTATCGTCCCGAGGGTGTCGTAAGAGGATATTAAAAAAGCTGCGGTAGCCTACCCGTCTCTAAGGTAATCTACAAGGGAGGCCTATGTTCAGCAGTGGAAGTAGGCTGTGATGGAATAGATGAATAGAATACAAATAAATACAATAAATACAATACAAAGATATACAAATAAATAAAATTGAAGTGTCGGTTTGTCATGTCAAGATAACAGCTTTACTGAATGCACATGAAATTATATCTGGTAATTACAACAAATAAACAATTTTTAAAATGTTTGTCTGTTTGTCTATCTGTACTATATATTTGTTTGTTTCGACTAATCTCCGAAATGTCCGGACCGATTTTCATGGGGCTTTCACTGGCAGATAGCTGATGTAATATGGAGTATATCAAGCTATTTTTATTTTAGAAAAAGTTAAAAATTACAACCCATGAAATCCAATCGTAGTAAATTCCACGCCGATACGATGAAATCACGGGGAACGGCGAGTAAATGAAATGATAAATCTCCGTTGCGGTCCTCCAACCTTCCGAAAGTACCTTGTATTATTAATTGTACATTATTAATTAGTGCAGCAGTTGTTTCAGTGCTTGTGCCAGGTTATACTGTCTGCATTATATTGCCATTCGTATTTAGTAGAAAATATCGTTCAACCATCAAAATTAACCCACGCTGTATCTGACAAGCCGAGTGAATGTACTTTTTCTCAATCGTATCTTCATACTCGGTTGAACATTATGAAATGTCAAACTACGGATTGTAATCATTGGGTGCGTTTGGCAGAAAAAAGCGCTAGCAAGCGCTTACACGCGTTCTGAAATAGTTTTCGGCCAGCGACACGATTGCTACTTCAGTACCGCGCTGACACACCGCCATTTTGCTTATATTAATTTGTCATTGTTTTGAAATAGAGTTTATAAGTTGTTTTGTGCAATATTAGTTTTAAGTAATATAATAACGTGTACATATACATGTTATTAAAAATTCAATTGGTAAGTTTTTAATATGAATACTTTACAAACATATAAATTAGGTTAGGTTCCACGGTTAAAACTAACATCGTGTCCTGAGTGAAAATAGCTACTTACGATTTGACAGCGTTTACCGCTTACGATCGCCATTTTGCTTATAAGCGCTTGCTAGCGCTTTTTTCTGCCAAACGCACCCATTATGTCAGTGTTTACCTGAAGTTTACGATGCAAGTATAAATTTGTCGTTAAGACGTCATTACACGTAAAAACATAAAGTACCTATAAACTTTTTTTTATTTACATTTAACTCTTAACTAAATACTCGTAACACTTAAAACAACTTCTCGCTCTATTTTAATACTAACTTATTATCTTACAATAAATGTATGGATATATATGTTATAATCAGCCTGTATCACGATTATTCACAAAATGTAACAAGTTCCACTACGTGATTTTAGGTTCATCGCCTACAACTATTCTCTATTTATGTATCTGTTTAGTTTGTAAAATAGATACATAATATTTAATACACCTTATTTCAGCTGGTATCTAATAAATAATAATATTAAATGTAACTTCGGTAATGTAATGTGTAGATTAGAATAATGTGTACATAATGTCGACAACAATGGTGTAAGGAAAATCTCTAATAAGTTTATGTTTAAATTAAAGTTATTTATCTTTGTAATCATAATTTCTTAAATAAATAAAAAATCCCGACGTTTCGTGTGCTTATTTCATTAAAAAGTTTTATATTTAAAAGTTAAATTAAACGCGATAAAATCCGTAAAAATTTGCTTCATTTAAATTAAAAAAGATTTTATTTTTAATCTGTAATGTAATAAATTAAAGAGCAAACCGCTGAGGATTTTTGTATATTTACAAAATACTCCAGAAACCGATAAGCTTTTATTTTAAACGCGACCTTTCAAATAAGCGACATTGGGGGTATGTTGCATGCAGTGTACTGTCCAATGCCAATATCGCCATGAATCTACGCTATACAACACCAGCATTAATAGGCTTGTAATCGGAGCATGCACCGTCTACAACGACGTTGATGCTCCGACCTGCAAGAAAGCTGGTGATCCAAATGCACAATTTTTCAGGAAGCCCAGAGGACGGGAGCTACGAAAGAAGCGCTTTGTGCCAAAT